AACCAGAATTTAATCACATATAAATTATATTCCACTGCATTCAAAGAAAAGGAAAGTTAACATTCCGCATCCACCTATATTTATCAATGGAGGTTCTCATAATAGCGATACGCGCATATCGTGGAAATATTGTGAGAGGATGGGAAAGTTTAGCGTGTATGTTTTTTTTATTACAGGGCAAGAAGACATGAGCCCCTGAGCACTGGCGTACTGCATGGGGAAGGGGGGGGGTATTTCTAATACGATACCTGTGATTTAAAATTGTTGCTGAAATGACATGATTTTTTTCGGTATTTTTTCTCAATTTTTGTGTAAATCATACCTTTTAATGCGTTTGCTGGAAAATTTCCCAAATTTACCGGCGGGCGAAAAAATATGCTTATTTAGAAGCCTTCATGTCAGGGCCCGTGCAAAACGGCGGTGCTCGAGACTCTCTCGCCAATGTCACAAATGAGGTATCAAAATATGCTCATCTGACCGTAATCAAATGCCTAAAACCCCTGAACTTAATTACGGGGGCTCCTCCCCTGGACCCCACCAAGGGCCCTAAGATGGGCTCATCTGACTGTAATTAAATACCTAAAACCTCTGAGCTTCCGAGGGCTCTGCCCCCTAGACCTCAACCCCTGGATGCTCATCTGACCATAATTAAATACTTAAAACCTCTGAGCTTCCGGGGACTCTGCCCCTGGACCCTACCCCTGGATGCTTATCTGATCGTTATTAAATACATAAATAAAACCTGAACTTCCGCGGGGGGGGGGGGTTCTGCCCCTGGACCCCCGTCAAGTAGTGACCTGTCAGTCCCCCCTCAATTTTAGGGGGGGGGTCGTCCCCCCTTAAAATTTGAAAAAGTGCCCCCAAAAATGTATAGCAAATACTGACTAAAGACTCATGCTCTGGAGGGCCCAAGAATGCAGCGTTTAGACAAAAAATTTAAAAAAAGCAAAAATCTTCTCACGCGGTCGCTACGCTCGCTCACATAATTATCCTTCAAAATGTACAAGTTAATACCGAGAAACTGAAGTGTGAAAAAAGTATATTGCTCGTTTTATACAATTTTGCTAAGGAACCTGTGAGGAGGTTCCGTCACCTTCACCCCTCTCATTCACTATGCTACCTCACACTTGCGTATACTGGTATGGGGGGGGGGGGGGGATTGGGGGGACAGTCCCCCCAAATGAAATTAAAACGTGGTTTATTTCTAATTCGATACCAGTCATTTATTAATGTTGTTGAAATGACATGAGTATTACCTGAGCTTCCGGGGGCTCTGCCCCCTGGACCCCACCAAGGGCCTTAAAGCGGGCCCCTGGTTGCTCATCTGACCGTAATTAAATGCCTAAAACGCTTGAGCTTCCAGAGGCTCTGCCCCCTGGACCCCACCAAGGGCCCTAAGGCGGCCCCTGCATACATGGATGCTCATCTGATCGTAATTTAATGCCTAAAACTCCTGAGCTTCTGGGGGCTCAGTCCCCTGGACCCCACTCCGATAAGTGACTTGCATGCCAGTGTCACAAATAAGGTATCAAAATATGCTCATCTGACCGTAATTAAATAACTAAAACCCCTGAGCTTCATGAGGTTCCGCCCCTTGACACCCGCCGGGCTTTGCCACTGGACCCCACGTCAATTTACGCTCCACTTTTCTTTGCTTTGATCTACCTGATCATAAATACTTTAGCCCCCCCCTCCAACTTTGAAAAACTTTCGCAGGGCCTGCGTAACATGTAAGAGTGATGGTGATGCAGATTTTATTCTGCCCCCCCCCCAAAAAAAAAAACGTTTTTGCTCATTACGCCACTGCTCCCTCGTCCCTCGCATTTCGTGTCCCCCCCCCCCCGGTCATGAAAAGAAATCGCCGCCCCTGGTGTATATTGACCCCTAAATAATATTTTGCCATATAGTGAAACAATTTTGCTCAATTGCACTCGCAATATTTCAGATCGAAATATGTCTTGTGTATATTGCCCGTATATTGATCACTAAATAACATTTTGCAATAATAAAATAATAGTATCCGAATAATATATTTGGGGTTATAGAGGCCCTCATGTGAAAATGTACCAGTACGTTCCCGTAAACAATAATCCTGTTGAAAACTTTGCAAGCGTTAATTTGACTAAGCAGAAGCCACATTATATGGGGAAATGAGAATTCCAACAGATTCATGTATATCGTCGGTGGTGGACTGGTGGTAATGGTTTTATTGAAAATTCATTTGCAGCCAGATAGCTGTATTGCAGAATTGTGTACATTGCGTAAAAAAATAAATACTTATGCAAACATATTATGGGTGCGTTTAATCGACACTTTTTCACCCTAGAATCACGGTTTCTAAAGACGTTTAGTTTAAAACGCAATGCGTTCAAGCGATTTTTTCGTCGGTCGTAAAAATAAACGTGTTTGAAAACACAAACATGAAACGCTGAAAAAGATGCGTTTTGTATCATGATTCAAAAGAATCACGGTCGCTAAAATTCGATTGAACGGACGGAGTTCTCAATCATGATTGTATGACGAAGCCTCTTCCGGTTTGGGAAAAACCGCGCGCCCGCTTTGCATGCAATTTGCGTTCACTATACCATCGTGGCCTGTTCCGTTATGTTATTCCTTGTTTTTCCTTCCATCATTTTCTCTTTCTGTTTTTCCTTATGTTATTCTTTGTTTCTTCCTTTTATTCTTATGTTATTCTTTGTTTTGTTTTCCTTCTATCACCTTTTCTTATGTTATTCTTTGTTTTTATCATTCTATCATTTGCTCTTTCTGTCTTTCCTTATGTTATTCTTTGTTTCTTCCTTCTATACTTATGTTATTCTTTGTTTTTTCCTTCTATCACCTTTTCTTATGTAATTCTTTGTTTTAAGCATTCTATCAATTTCTCTTTCTGTCTTTCCTTATGTTATTCTTTGTTTCTTCCTTCTATCATCTTCTCTTATGCTATTCTTTGTTTTTATAATTCTATCACTTTCTCTTATGTTATTCTTTGTTTTAATCATTCTGTTACTTTCTCTTTCTTTCTTTCCTTATGTTATTCTTTGATTCTTCCTTCTTTCACCTTCTCTTATGTTATTCTTTGTTTTAATCATTCTATCACTTTCTCTTTCTGTTCTTCCTTATGTCATTCTTTGTTCCTTCCTTTTTTCACATTCTCTTTCTGTCTTTCCTTATGTTATTCTTTGTTTCTTCCTTCTATTTTTATGTTATTCTTTGTTTTTTCCTTCTATTACCTTCTCTTTTGTTATTCTTTGTTTCTTCCTTCTATTCTTATGTTATGCTTTGTTTTTTCCTTCTATCACCTTTTATGTAATTCTTTGTTTTAAGCATTCTATCACTCTCTCTTTCTGTCTTTCTGTCTTTCCTTATGTTATTCTTTGTTTCTTCCTTCTATCACCTTCTCATTCTTTGTCTTATTATTGCGATCTATGCTCAAAACAGCAGTCAACAGTCGGCCGTAAACAATTCCAGAAAGCGCGCGCCGAAGTTCCTGGGCCATACTGCGCAGTGTGATGCGCAGTGGTTTGGCTCGCAATGAGCTAGAATCAGCGTTGATGAAAAATCGCTTGAACGCAAACCGCAGTGACCTTGCTTTTTGTAACGGCGTTTTGAATTGTGATTCATGTTTGTGATTCTAGCTTCGAAAATTCGATTGAACGCACCCTATATAAACTACAGTGATTATCCAGAAAATCGTATGAAGACATATCACACAGTGAATGAATTTTCTAAATAAATGTTCACCTATATACAAGTAAATAAAATTCGCTAAACAGCTAACAGTTGCTTAAATCTATTCCACAATCATTATTATGACATAATATGAAAAGATTGTTCAAAATAAGAGAGAAGAGAGAACAAAAAGGCTGGAGGGAAATATAGAAGAGAGGTAGGGAGGGAAAATAGTACATACAGCACAGGAGATCCAGGAAAAGTATGAGCGGAGTATGAGAGAGAAAGAAAGAGGGAGGGAAAGGGAGAGAGGGGGAGAAAAAGAGAGATAAAGGGAAAGAGAGGGAGAGATATATAAGATAATGCCTGTTTACGAGCCTGTATAAGCTGATATTGCAAATTTGCACACATTTTTGTCCTTTAATTCCCACTTATTTGATTTGAAATGACAAGGATAATGTATAATACCACTGAACTTGCACAGGCATAGCATCGCTGGAGCTGAGCTCTTATAAGAAGTAAAAAGGCTCAAGGGTACTTTAAAAAAAAGTGGGAGGGGCCATATTATGCCCCTAGAGAGTACCGAAGCTGTGACATCATGAAAATCTATTTTTAGAATTTCTCAATTTGAACTTCATTTTCCGAATGAAGACCATCTGAATAATGAACCATGCAGAGCATAATAAATAACACCGAGTCCTCGGAAATCTATTTATTCAGATGGTCATATCTCAGCCAATATTTAACATACTTGGTTTTCGACATTTGGACATCATTTTTTATGCTCTTTCGGAAAATAAAGTTCAAATTGAGAAATTCCTTAAAAAAGTAGTTTGATGACGTCACACTTCACCACTCCATAGTGTCCCCCGGATGCGTTATTTTTTCGGCGGCACAGATTGGGGTTAGGTGCGTGTTGAGCCTATGGGAAAGTTTAGGGTTAGGGTTAGGGTTTATCAATTAAGACCCTTTTAAAAAAAAAGCCCCAATCTGTGCCGCAGAAGAAAATAACGCCCCCGGATATGCCCCCGGAGCTGGTTGCCCCGCCTCTGGTCACTTGAATTTAAAGATACATGTTTTTGTATTTCTCATGAAATAAGCCCATGAATAATGTGGGGATTTCACCCCTATTCCCCGGCCCCATTCCACCTCCGCAAAGATTTTACACGCAAGTGTGTGGGCACAACATTATAAAAACTATTATATGCAGCACATCATGCAGAACTATAACTACGGTACGGTACGCAGCTGAAGCGTGCGCGCGCGTGTACTGTAAACGTAAACAGCTAGCTCGCTCTCACTCGAGCTCTCTCTCTCTGGTGCAGCAGACCAGTATGATGTCCTTGTATGTCGATGCCCGTATCATTTTGTCTAGCATTTTTCTACTAGGACCAGAGTCCAATTAATTAGGAATTGGGTGACGGCGAGACGACCATCGCAATGGCTCCACAACCATCCCCTCCTCCTCCTCCGACACCTGATGCAAAATTCGTACCAAAGAAGCAAGTTAGCCTGGTAGAGATCAGACGAAGTGCATCGGTACTTTCTCAATTTCCAATTCAAGACGGGACAGAGGCAAATGTTCTCGTGATTTATGTTGGTGGTACAATTGGAATGAAGAAAGTTGATGGAGTTAAGTAAAGTATACTTAGTTGTGTTAGTTCCAGCTACACTGTAATATATTAACTTCATGATCACTTGATTAACGAGGGAAAATTTCACTTTACTTGACAGCTAGAGCCTAGTCTAGGCAACATAAATATATTGACACATGCATGTTGGCCGTTTTTCAACCGGGGTGCCGCGGCACACTGGGCTGAGCTTAGACCGAATTTTCCGTCTCTTTCGTTCGTTAGCCTCTTATTGGGGTAGGGTCGGCTCTCTCTTTAGAGACGGAAGCCGTTTATACACATGTCCTTGCTAACGCCACGGCCAGTTCTGGTCGTAGCGTTTTGCCCCCAAAATCCCCCAAAATGTCATTTTACCTCGAGCATGTTATATTGTAAATTAGGCCTAGGCTATAATAAATCAGTTCCACTTACCAACTTGACTGAAATAATCAGTTTAATAGTCCCTTTTTAGGAAATTATGGGTCAAAATCGGAATCCATGTTGAAAAAGATTTTCAAAATGGATTTCGATTTTGACCCATAATTTCCTAAAAAGGGACTATTAAACTGATTATTTCAGTCAAGTTGGTAAGTGGAACTGATTTATTATAGCCTAGGCCTAATTTACAATATAACATGCTCGAGGTAAAATGACATTTTGGGGGATTTTGGGGGCAAAACGCTACGACCAGAACTGGCCGTGGCGTTAGCAAGGACATGTGTATAAACGGCTTCCGTCTCTAAAGAGAGAGCCGACCCTACCCCAATAAGAGGCTAACGAACGAAAGAGACGGAAAATTCGGTCTAGGCTGAGCTGGGCCGGGCCGGTCCCGCGAGAGAATTTTACTTTAACGTTTAGTTACTAAGAACTAGACCTAGAGTCTAGTCTAATTAGACCCCTAATACAAAATAAAATAAAAGTCATTATTCTGAATAACCTCAATTTCGTCAAAAACAAATATTAGAAACTGCTAGAGTGTGGAATTCAATGAGGATATCTATTTTAGAGATAAATTGTCTTTCTTCCTCACTCGCTTGCAACCATTAGGCATAGACCTAGACTAGATCTAGACTCTATTACTGCTTTAGAAACATGATCACTGATGATAATTTGCAGGGGTGGGGGATAATCGTCCTCGGGGGGGGGGGGGGGGGGGGGGGGTAACTGTCCTAGGGGGTAACATTTCTGGGGGTTAATTTTTTTTTTTTGGGGGGGTAGTTTTCAGTTGGTAATTTTAATTTTTTTTTTTTTTTTTTTTTGGGGGGGGGGGGGGTGGGTGATTGTGCAGGGGGTAGTTGTCCTGATACTTAATGTAGCCTGTTTATTTATTTGTTTATTTCCTCTCATATGGTGGATGGCCCTTTCAGCTGATTTTCAAAGGGGTCCACAAACATAAAAATAACAATAAATATACAGTGAATTATACAATAATATGTAAAATGTTGCAAATGCAAGAAGTAAGGCAATGAATATGTACATGTATAGTCAAACAAATAAATATCTAACAGATTAATGTACAAAATGTTAATGTTAATGTTGAATTCTGTTAAGCCAAAAATGTGTAAGTATTTTTAAATGTGCGTAAAAACATGTATTGGGTTAAGGTCTAAGGCTAATTCTAGGGTGGACCTTATTTTTATTAAAAAAGTTTGAAAAATTTGAAAAAGGGTATCAAATTCACTGGTGATATTGATAAGAAGATACGCCTTGTTTTGGGGGAGTTTTTTTTCCTTGGTCGTTTCCTTGTTTCTCTTGCAGTGCTGTGCAGTGTTATGTCATCTCCTTTGGCCCAGACAAAAGAAAGGGATACTCATCTGGAAATGTGCCCTTGTGTACATTTCAGGGTTCCTAAAGTTTCTTTTCTTTTCTTTGAATGAAAATATTGTTCTGTAACATGTTCCATAATCAGAAGTTTTTTTTTTCTTAGCCTTTTCCTTTTTGGCTAAAAAAAGTCTAAGAAGTCCAAACTTGAATTTGGTGTAAAAATGATAACATATAAAACTGTTCAAAGATCAGAGATATTAGACAGGTTAACCTGTATATGGTATCAAACCTACTCTAGACTTTGATCCTCATTTAGGGTGCTTCTCAGAAAGTGATTTACACTGATGATGTATATTGCTCAATGTGAGTATTCTCATGACAATATTTGTTAAAAAGCTACAAAAAATCTAACTTTGATATTGTATTGATGCTATATTACCAATCATGAAGATTTTGTGTGTGTGGATTTGTTTTGATTTTTATTGGGTACATTTCATTAATGGGGAACGGTTGCATGGGACACAATGTGATATCAGAGCAAATAAATATCTGGTTTGGTCACATTGATTTGAAAATACAGAACATTAGTTTCAGGTAAAATCTCATGAGTAATTTATTGAAGAAATATATGCCACAATGAAGCAGTGGCCATACTCGTGTGAGCTAGTAAAACGAAGGAAACAAAATTATACATGAATCAAACAACACCAAGATCAACACATTAAAAAAAAAATGTGATCTTGACAACAACACTTCATTATTTTCTTCAACAATTAATTTTTGTAATCTTAAAATTGATGTAGAGAACTTAAACATGCTTATAAAACCTTAAGCTACAGGCATGACCATTAATAGTTTGCAGCTTATAAATATAAAGATGCCAAGAGCTGTTGACCTTATCTTTCATATCTTTTACAGTTAACAAAAGTTTACCCAAGCTGCAATTTCAGCACCGTGTGTATGAAGGACTTGAGTTATCGTATGCACACTATGGTTGAGGCCTGAGGGCATATGGTGTGTAACTGCTTTCTGATTACATGTACACATGTACCTCTCTATATGAGAGAGATGCATATTTGCACAAGATACCATATTCCTAATGTTTGTCTTTCTTTAATAGATATTTCCACAAGAATTGATTAAGCCTCAGATAAGAGAATGATGTAGAGAAAGGAAGTGGGTCAGACTAAAGCCAGAAGGGGAAGGTCTAGATATATGTATGTAATGTTTTTATTGCATGAATAAGAATAATCTTAGTCATCCCTTTACCTCAAAACATAATTTTCATATGGGACAAGGATGTAGAGAAAGGAAGTGGGTCAGACTAAAGCCAGAAGGGGAAGGTCTAGATATATGTATGTAATGTTTTTATTGCATGAATAAGAATAATCTTAGTCATCCCTTTACCTCAAAACATAATTGTTATAAGACCGTGTTTAAACTTCCACGTTGTTATAATAACCACACAGGAGGCGTGACTTGAATAGCTTCCCTTTAATAGTTGTGGCGCTGTAAAGCACATTCAACAATCGTGTGAATCCTGTAAAGAAACAAAGAATGACTATTGATTCAAAATACCCAAATTGTTCCTTTTTCCTTAGATTACATTCTTTGTATGCAAACTAGAGTAAATACATGACCTACAAGGGTGTAATTAAGTTTAAGACTATAGTGTTAAGCAACTAGAAGTAAAAATCCACATTCGAACTCTTAACAAATAACTATTCATTTCACTTCTTTACTCTAATAAAAAGTGTCTTCTTTAAGCAAAATAAAATGTGTTGTTTTGTCTCGTTTCTGAATTACATAAAAACTCCATTCAGCATACTATAAATCACATTACAAAAATCCCCTTTTCAAGTATTAAACGAATAACTCGATATTACCAAGGGCGACATAAACAAGACTAACCGTAAGGCGAATCACTAAACCTGGCGTCTAAAAATATCCCTCCGCTATATAATCTGTACGTATAGGTACTACAATTCACTGAAGTCCTAAAATAGCGTAAGAAAAATAGGTCTCACGTGTCATCCCGAATTTATGAAATATGACACCAAAACAATAATGAACGTCTCCAGATAACTTATAAACTATCATGAGACATTTCAGCATCTCTTACACTTCCTTGAAGTATATAACCAAGAATTATTTTACAAATTATCAATCACTTTCACAAGTACCGTAAGCACAGTCAAAACCAATACGGACTTTTACCACTATCCAAACTTCAAAAGAGGCCCAAATTTGTCCTACAAACCTCAAAAACATTAAAGATACACATACAATCCTAGCATAACATACACTCATAAGAATAATAGCACGGAATTAAACATACCTTCAGTTTTTGCATATAAATGAAGGAAAAACTAGGATCAACCAACATGGTTGATGTACCTTCGTACGGTCTTGTTTTGCGCTGTAACGAAAGTGCTGATAGTCTCAGTTCAGGTAAAAAGGGTAATTATTCTGCAGCGTAACAAATACGAGAAAAAATAATGTCATGCCTTGACAATAATTTTCATATGGAACAAGGATTTTTGTCTTGGGTTGCTAAGTAGGTGATCTACAATGAAGAGTCACTTCACTTGGCTCTCCCTGTCTCCCATTTAATTTTACTTCTGTGAAACATTTTTGTTCCCTAGTGAAATGTAATAACTACCTCTATCATCTAGTGTGTACTACAATACATTGTACATGCAGGTATTTCATATGGTATTTCTTTCCCATTCTTTTTCTTCTCTCTGTCTGCAGTTTACATACCTGTCGGGATTATATGGGAGAGGTGATTCGAACCCTGCCAATGCTGTATGATGCTGAATATGCCAAAGAAATAGGCCTCGATAAAGAAGAGTTGAATTCATTTGTTCTTCCGTAAGTTTTATCATTGGGAGTATTTTAGACTTATTTGAGAAAATTGAGACCAAGTCTGAGGTATTTTGACCCATATATCATATCAACAACAAGGATACCAAAGAATTTGGTATGTATGTTTATCACCAAAAATTTAAGCATAACTTGCTTGAAAATAATATCAATACTTAATAATGTAGGGAACCCAAATTGACTCTTGCCTTGTCTTTTTATGCAAATAGAACCTCTTCAGAAATGATTGATAATATACATGTATATGTTAGATGTTTCGAAATCCAGGTGTTGCATATCATATACTGGTACTGGGTTGAATTATTATGCAACTCCTGGTAATTGAATATGAAATGTTGGGCTGTATGCTTTTTAGTAGGGGATGGTTTTGCTTTTCATAATTTTTATTTTATTTTATTATTTTACTATTATTTTGTATTATTAGTAGTATTCTGCAAAAACGGATCAAGTCTGTTTTTTTTCTTGATCAACTTTATTTTAACAAAAAAGGATTGAGTGTGAAAAAGTGCAACTTTATGCTATACTCTACTGTCAAAGTCTTTTCCTATTGAGTCTCGTTGTGCCCAGTATAACTGCCTTCTGCATGTTGTAGATGTGTAGATTCTTGGAATTCTTGGTGATTGCCTTCTTCACCAGGTGGTGTGTTCAATGATTATTGGAGTCACCTCTGCTTGGAAGTTCCACCTTCTCTCTATCTCTATATTCAGATCTCGGTCTTTAAGCCGTTAGTCTCTTTCCCTGACTGCGGTGTCAATGTCATTAGGAATGGCCTTTTTCGATAATGTTAACTTAACTACCATCTCTAATGATGATGTCTGGCTTGTTGCCGTTAATAGTTCTGTCTGTCATAATACCACAGTTCCAGTATATCATACTTTCATTGGCCTGGGTAGTCGTTTGCGCCTGGTGATCACATGGATGCTTGCAAGTTACATTTCAATGATCTCATAGTATCTGCCAATGGATATGTTTAGCAATAGCACTATTATTATTATAATTTATATATTTATTTATTCATTATCATTTATTATTTTTGTTATTTTTTTTAAATCTTAGTCATTATTATTATTTTTTTTTTTCTTCATTATTATTATTTTTTTTTGGAAGGGGGGGGGGGGCAGATTTAGGTGTCAATATGTTCAGGCCCCTTTAAGTGACAGGCACTGATATGATGATGATGGCTTCTTGTATAGCACAGGTATCTGCCCCTGCGTGGTGCTCTACAATGTCTGACAAATTTATATTATCCTAGAAAGTCAACATGTACTCTGGTTGATATCTTATTATTATATGGCACCTTATTATTGCTGGGTGTCATCTTCATCATCACAGTTATCACCATCAATATTATCACCTTTATCATCATTCTTACCCTTATCCTTTTTCTCCTCATCGTCGAAATCATTATTTTTTTCATTAAAATATCCTGAGGATATATTGTAAACTATAAGAAGTAAACATGGAACAATAAGAACAAAAGGATAACAAGAGATCTATGTAGACAAATGTACAGATATATCAATACTTGTATTTTACATGTAATTGTATTTCCTTCTGAATATAAGTTATGTTTGAACTGCTATTTTTTCTCTTCTATTTTTTCTCTTCTAAAGAATCTCCAAGGGCCGAAGAGTGTTCTTCTACCTAAAGGAATATGAAACCCTCAAAGACTCGAGCAATGTCAATGTCAATGATTGGTTGGAAATGGTTGAGAACATCAGAGAGAACTATCGTCTCTACGATGGCTTCGTCATCATCCACGGTACAGACACCATGGCATACACTGCATCAGCACTCTCCTTCGCGCTGGAGAATCTTGGAAAGCCTGTCATCCTGACAGGATCGCAAGTGCCACTCTCTGAACTGCGCAGTGATGGAAGGGACAACTTTCTTGGTGCTGTCTATATCGCTGGACATTATGTCATACCAGAGGTATTTTAAGTCTTTATTTGAACTCATTAAGTGTATTCAGTGCTTATCTGTATTATGGAAAGTATATTTTTTCTGGTTTCATTGAGTGAACATACACTATGAATATGACAGACAAAGAAAGCGGACAAAATATACAGTTCCTCAGGTAGACAAAGGAACATCCCTTCACTGCTATTATGTAAAAATGTGTAGAACAGGTGTCACATGCATATTCACCTTTTTACTTAATAGCAGTGAAGGGATGTTCCTTTGTCTACCTGAGGAACTGTATATTTTGTCCGCTTTCTTTGTCCGTCATATTCATAGTGATAACAGGCATGTTTGTTTTCATTGCCAGGTAACTCTGTACTTCAATAACAAGCTGTATCGAGGTAACAGATGTGTGAAGATATCCAGTGAAAGCTTCAGAGCTTTTGATTCTCCAAATTTAGCTCCACTTCTTACAATGGCAGTTGATATCACAGGTAAGCCAAAAGCCATGAAGAATACCCACCTGCTTTATTTATAGTTGTACAATCCATTTTATTGTCACCGTTCTTTATTACTACTGTAATACCAGAGCTGCCAACCATTCCGTTATTGCCGGAATTACTCCATTTTTTCCTCCAAATTACTGTATTAGGTTTTTTCTTCATAAATTCTGTTTTTTTAATTTTTTAAATAATTTTTATAATTTTTTTTATTTTTTAAATTTTTTTTTTTGCATACTGCACATCAAACAGCTGCCCTGAAATGTTGATTTGATCACAAATTCAATAGAAAACTAAGTTTAAAACATACTTGAATACATAATTGAAGAGAAAAATATCAAAAAAAAATGAAATACCGGTACTGATAATACCAAAATTAAAACAATTAAAAAAAAACCTGCTTGTATGGCAGTGCATTATTGTAAGTTACGTTTTAATGAATTCCTTTTTTTTGCCATCATGATTCCTTTTTTTGGTCGCACAAGGTTGGCAGCTCTGTAATACTAATTAACATTCTTCTGTTATTCCTGCTTCTATTGGTGCTTATATTGCTTCTGCTCCTGCTGTTGATACTGCTGCTTCTACTACTACTACTTCTACTACTACTACTACTACTACTACTACTACTACTACTACGACTACTTTCTATTACTACTACTTTCTACTACTAATTCTAATTTTTCTTCTTCTTCTTCTTCCTCTCCTGCATCTTCTTCTTTTTCTTTTCTTCTATTTCTTATTTTCCACTTCAACTGTCTGCTTCTACTATTGATGCTGCTATTGTTCTGAAACTATGGTAACTCTTGAGTGGGGTTAAAGATATAGATTAGAAACTTGGTCATATTAAGATTAATGGAGACAATATTAAATGTTTTATTTATGTTTCTTTTATTTATTTGATTTTAGTAAATTGGTCGAGTATATTCAGAATGAACACTTTGGCAGCCTTTCGAGTGAACACCAACATGACCAGGAATGTAGGACTTCTCAGGTTATTCCCAAGTATCACAGCTGAAACGGTAAGTCTCTCACATAAATTAGACATGATCTTGGCAGTTGTACAGCATGATAAGCCTTTGTCATGGTATGGTATGGCATCCATTGTACATCAGTCTTTCCTGGTGCCTTTCCTCCAGTTTGTTCACTTTCCATGATCTTTGTATAGTGAGATAGAGCTAATTATAAGATGATGACGTGGATCCTAAATCCTAATCAAATGATTGGTTTAAAGCGTACACGTGATTGACCAGGCATTTCTTTTGCCTAACGTGTAAATTTGGATAATGACCGGTCATTGTCCAATGGTATGGACCGGTCATTATCAAAATCATTATGATGGTGATGATGATGATTCACAGCATTTGTATGGAGCCATATATCTGTTTTAAAAAACATCCAAAGGCGTGAATCATGTTATAAAACATAATTTTATAAAATAATATGAAACATAATCTTATAGAACAAATAATACACATCATTTTGTTCAGGCATTAGTAAAATTACCCACACTCTGTACCTTAAAAACAGTCCAAACACCTTCAGCTATCGCCTCGGTCGTGTTAGACTGTTCCAAAGGTACCTTGTATGGGTACCTTTCCTCCAGTTTGTTCACTTTCCATGATCTTTGTATAGTGAGATAGAGCTAATTATAAGATGATGACGTGGATCCTAAATCCTAATCAAATGATTGGTTTAAAGCGTACACGTGATTGACCAGGCATTTCTTTTGCCTAACGTGTAAATTTGGATAATGACCGGTCATTGTCCAATGGTATGGACCGGTCATTATCAAAATTATTATGATGATGATGATTCACAGCATTTGTATGGAGCCATATATCTGTTTTAAAAAACATTCAAAGGCGGAATCATGTTATAAAACATAATTTTATAAAAAAATATGAAACATAATCTTATAGAACAAATAATACACATCATTTTGTTCAGGCATTAGTAAAATTACCCACACTCGGTACCTTAAAAACAGTCCAAACACCCTCAGCTATCGCCTCGGTCGTGTTAGACTGTTCCAAAAGTACCTTGTATGGGTAATTCTTACTAATGCCCTCACTGCTGTGTATTATTTATATACTACAATACGTAACGATATGGTCTGGTTCACATGGTATGTCATCCAGTACATCAGTCTCGCTTCGTCAGATGAAATCAAATATGTAAAGGCATTCCACAAATCAATTGGTCATTTTTGTTTAAAACTGAAAAACATATTTTGTATACAAATAATTTTAATAAAAATTAACAAGTAATGAACTTGGAAGCTTAAAAGTTTCTATTTTTGATTTATTATCAATTGGATCACAAAAAGAAGGAATGCTCAGGATCATTCCTTCTCAGTTTCCGTGATCCATCCATCATGGTAATTGAGGATTATCTTTTTCAAACTTGAATTGATCTGCATTGATACATTTCTAATTAGTTTACTTTTGAACATGCTAGAGTGGTCCTCCAACCCCAATAAGGTGTGTTATATAAATAATAATAATAGTCCGCTTTTATCTAGCGCTTAATACGTCTACGATGTCTCTAAGTGCTTTACAGATATACTATTACCCCGGTCATTGGATTCAATACTTGCCACTCCCTGTGGAGCATTCCAGCCAGGCGTTACTTGACGCTCAAAAACTATAGAATGTGTTCTGGGACAATGCCCCAATGATCTTGTAGCCGACATCCATACACTAATTTCATTATTTTCTTCTTCTTGTAGGTAAGAGCTTTCCTGCAACCTCCAATGGAAGGTATTGTTCTACAGACGTATGGTGCAGGGAACTGTCCAGATGATAGAAGAGATATAATAGCTGAGATCCAAACTGCTGCAGATAGAGGCATGATCATCCTTAATTGCACCCAGTGTTCTAGTGGAGGTGTATCAGCATCATATCAAACAGGAAAGGTAAGCGTACAAACACTCCAAAAACTGGTCAGTCAAACATTTCTGCAATTAATGAGAAGTACACAAACAAAGATATGTGCAGTCAAAGAGATGGTTTTGGTTTTTGCTTGGGAATTTATTACTGCATATTATAGTAAGTGGCCAATCAGTTTTGAGAAACACTGATTTTAAGTCCATGGAGAGTTCAACAATTTTTATGCCTCCGCCACCGAAGGTGGTGCCGGAGGCATCATGTTTTCGGGTTGTCCGTCCGTACGTCCGTACGTCCGTCCCGTTTGACCGTTATCACAATATCTCAAGAACCATTTAAGATTTAAACTTAAGACTCGGGAATAGTATTTATCACCATAGGAAGATGATCTGATTAGATTTTGGAGCACGTATGTCAAAGGTCAAGGGTCACAGAGGTCAACTTATGAAATTCCTTGTATTGAGTTTGTTAGCGCGATATCTCAAGAACCATTTGAGATTTAAACTTCAAACTTAAGGATAGTATGTATCACCATAGGAAGACGATCTGATTAGATTTTGGAGCACGTATGTCAAAGGTCAAGGGTCACAGAGGTCAACTTATGAAATTCCATACATTGAGATTGTTATCATGATATCTCAAGAACCACTGGAGATTTAAACTTCAAACTTAGTGATAGTGTGTATCACTATAGGAAAACAATCTGATAACATTTTGGAGCACGTAGGTCAAAGGTCAAGGGTCATAGAGGTCAACTTATGAAATTCCATACATTGAGATTGTTATCATGATATCTCAAGAACCACTGGAGATGTAAAAACTTCAAACTTAAGGATAGTATGTATCACCATAGGAAGACGATCTGATCAGATTTTGGAGCACGTAGGTCAAAGGTCAAGGGTCACAGAGGTCAACTTATGAAATTCCATACATTGAGATTGTTATCATAATATCTCAAGAACCACTGGAGATTTAAACTTCAAACTTAATGATAGTGTGTATCACCATAGGAAGACAATCTGATTAGATTTTGGAGCACGTAGGTCAAAGGTCAAGGGTCACAGAGGTCAACTTATGAAATTCCATACATTGAGATTGTTATCATAATATCTCAAGAACCACTGGAGATTTAAACTTCAAACTTAATGATAGTGTGTATCACCATAGGAAGACAATCTGATTAGATTTTTGAGCACGTAGGTCAAAGGTCAAGGGTCACAGAGGTCAACTTATGAAATTCCATACATTGAGATCGTTATCGCGATATCTCAAGAACCACTGGAGAATTTTCACTTCAAACTTAATGATAGTATGTATCACCATATCATAATATCTCAAGAACCACTGGAGATTTAAACTTCAAACTTAATGATAGTGTGTATCACCATAGGAAGACAATCTGATTAGATTTTGGAGCACGTAGGTCAAAGGTCAAGGGTCACAGAGGTCAACTTATGAAATTCCATACATTGAGATTGTTATCATGATATCTCAAGAACCACTGGAGATTTAAACTCCAAACTTGTTTAAATTGCTCTATGGCGGAGGCATCATTTTCGACTGCGCGCAGTCAAAATTCCATCTAGTTTTTTAAGAATCAGTGCCCATTATGTTTCCTACCATAAACCATACTTAATTTCTAATTGAGAAGCAATTCATGATTTCATTTCTTGAATCTTCAATAATTAAAATTTTGTCTGATACTTTCCCAATTTGAGTCGCATATGAAATATTTGTATCAAGTCAGAAAGTAGAGTACTGCAGTAGTCCAAAGGGAAGATTATTGGAAGATTTTTTTTGTGGAAAACTGGGTGGAGTAACTGGTATTTATAATCATTGTTTGAGAACAGAATTTTTTTCGTTTCTTGTAGGTGCTGCTAGATGCAGGAGTGATACCAGGATCTGATATAACCCCTGAAGCAGCCCTCAGTAAACTCAGCTACATCCTAGGACAGCCTAACTTCTCACTTGAAGAGAAGAGAAGACAACTCAAACGGAATCTTCGAGGGGAGATATCGGTTTCTACGGCTACAGGCAGAACATTCACATTTGAGGACAGCGAATTCATCAGAGCTGTGGTAGACACATTGAGGATTGGAAGTAGCAAAGTGAGTCACGGTGCGCCGAGGGGTCATGGCAGGATCTGCTAGTTCCAGAGAGCATATAAAGCAGCCAGACCTCGAATAATAAAGCCGTCGATATGTCTTTTATATGCCGAATTAAAATAAAAATCTATCAAGAATTCTTACCTTATCTTTTTATTGAGTAAAGATTGGTTAAAACATTACAGAAAATCTGAGACACTATCTGTTAATCTTCACTTGAAAAATGACTAAAATTTTAAATCATTTGGGAATTGCAGACAAACAGCACTGTATGGTGTCCGCGCTCGCACAAAGACAATTTTAACACGTAAACTAATGGGTATCGCAGCAAAATTAAACTATTTTCATGGTAACCAGAATTTTGAGGGATCTCACTCTTGGACTATTACCAGTTTGGCATTTTACGTTTATTTACGGGAGTGGCTAAAGTCACAACTCCAATTTCGACCAATCAGATGGCTGGATTTGTTAAGTGAGGTATATAACTCATATTATCATCTGGAAACAGCCCTATTTTGATACATGATTGTACTATCATTTTTTTATGTTGTTATTCCTGCAGGAAGTGCAAGCTGTGAGTGAGACTCTCTTCCCACCCCTATTGTGTGCTGCAGCCAGAAATGGAGATTTAAACGCGATCAAGTATATGCAAGAGACCGTAAGTTACATCCATAGAGATTTATACTTACACTTAATACATACCTCAGTGTTATTGCCAAGACCTCTGCTATTTCAAGATGAGATTTGTACTACAAATCATTCCAGCTTAGAAGGGCTTACTATCTGAATTGGATTTAGAAATTTAATAAGGTACACCATGCTGACAGAATTGGGGATAAGACTCATTTAGTGTAAATATATGTGCTTCCTTCTGTGAGTATAAAAAAAAAGACAATTTTGAACTAGGTCTGTAAGATCACGGTTTTTCTTTAAACTGAGTCCTCATGCACCAATAAAGACAACAGTACAGAATTGGTGTTGAATTTGTACAAACCCATAAATTGGCACGAGCAGGTCTGGAAGATGGCTAAAATTTTGTGCCGCAGTTGTTTTCCAAAATAAAAAAAATCATTATTCTTTCATATACAACAATGGATTGTAGGATTTCTGTGTTTAAAGTCCATTTTGCAAGAATATTAATATCTTTTATTGGAGAATGGACTGTGG